TGACAACATACTAAATTCCTTAACTTGAAGGACGAAAATAATATAAAATTTTATTTATAATACTGCAATCATGCAATTCCCAAGTAGTTGACAGGATGTGCTTATCTCACCTTGCCTTGCATGTCCCAGAGTGCCAGCCAGATGTGAGAGGACATCATTACAAAGTACTCTGTGACCCTGTCCAGTGTCATAATTTCTAGCTCATTTTTTCACGGTAAGTCGCCAATCTTGTACCTACTGAATTTCGGTTATTTACATTACGAACTTTTAGTATTTTAATGTTTTTTCAATGGCTGAACAAAGTGTAGGTGATATATTGGAACAATGGGGATTCCCGGAACTACTTTTGGTGTTTGAAGGTAAGTGTAACTTTAATCCATAAATTGTTTTGAATTATCTTTTGTTTTCCGGCATTTTCATTTTTAGATTTTTCGAACAACGACAACTCGAAAAGTGCCGGTCTGATCAGAAACTGGTCGAGGAACTTTTTATTTAATAATAATAATAATATATTTATTGAGTTATTGTGTGGGTACACTTACTCTAGTCAAGTCTCATACATATGTAATTAACAGACACAAAGGTATATAAAAAGTACATACAAGTACAACAAAGAGACATGCATATTCCTTACTCAATTCTGCGACAGTGACTTATAAACTCGTCAAATGAATAGAAAGCATTTTCTATAAGTACCTTTTTGATAGAAGTTTTAAATAACTTTAAAGGAAGTATTTTTATATGTGCGGGAATACAATTATACAATACCTGTGATTGATAAGTCAAACCATTTCGAGTTTTTGTTAGTCTACAAAAAGGTAGCCTTATGTTGTCTTTTTGCCTGGTGTTATACGAGTGTACATCTGATTGAAGGACAGTTGAGACCATATTACTTTTGACTAGACATACTACTTGCAAAATATATAAGCAAGGGAATGTCATAATTTTTAAAGTGATAAATGAGACACGGCAGTCGTCTCTATAGTTTAAACCAGAGAGCACTCGTACGGCTTTCCGTTGCAAACGGAATACACTGGACCAGTGGGAACTGTGTCCCCATGCCAAAATTGCATATGATAACGTACTTTGTATAAGTGCGTAATAAGCAGTTTTCATTACCTTTAAGGATACATTGTTTTGCAATTTCCTTAATAAAAAAAGTGATTTATTCATTTTTTTAATAATGTTAGTACACTGCACATGAAAATTAAGCTGTGGATCTATTACACAACCCAAGAGGGACATTTCCCTTGTTGCAAGATAGGGGTCGGTCGTTCTTAATGATAGGGGCATTATAACTGTTTTAGATTCATTCAGTAGTAGCTTATTGTCTATACACCAATTTGTAACGATTTCGATGGCACTTTGAGTATATGACAGCAATACTGAAGTCATCGTTACATGATAGCAAGGTTGCGTCATCAGCATAAAGAATGCAATCCATGTGTTTAGGCAACACCGTGGGCATATCGTTTATATATATTAAAAATAACAGGGGGCCGAGTATAGACCCCTGTGGAACTCCCCGTGTTACAGGTAATGTCGGAGAAATAGTCTGATTCACGCGCACACACTGGAACCTATTGATTAAATATGATTTAATTAGTGCTAAGCTTGAATCATTAAAGTGGTACACGTATTGTAATTTACGAACTAATAGATTGTGGTCGACACAATCGAATGCCTTAGATAAATTGATAAATGCCGCTACCAAATGCTGACCTCTTTCAAAACATTCGTAGGCATTATTAACGAAGGTAATAATTGCATCAGAAGTTCCACGTCCTTTCCTAAATCCAAACTGTTTGCGGTAAAATAGAGCACTATTTTCGAAAAAGTGGTTCATTTGCTTGTATAGGACTCTCTCTAATACTTTGCTGAACACAGGAAGAATCGAAATTGGTCGGTAGTTGTTCAAATTGTTGGTGTCGTCACCTTTTTTAAACAGGGGCAAGACTACTGCTATTTTAAAACAGTCCGGAAAAATTCCGGTCGATATAGCAAGATTCACTAATCTGGTTAGTGGTCTTACAAGCACATCAATGTTACGCTTAATCACTTGAGTATTGAGACCAAAAAAATCTTTCGTGTTGCTGTTCCGCAGGCTGGAGATGGTATCACGTACTTCCGTTTGCGAAACACAATTAAACTCAAATTTTATACCTAATGGAACATTAGTAATCTTACAATGATCTATGGGGTCTTTTTTGCTACTAGGAAGACTAGATAGAATTTGGTCTGTGACGCTTGAAAAGAAATAATTAAAATCATCGGCAGTTAAATTGCATTGTGGGTTCGTATTAGAAATTCTTTCAGAATTTATAATGGACCACATTGCTTTTGTGGAATTTCCAGATACAGCAATGTGCTGATCGTTAGCTGCTATTTTAGCCAATTTTATTTGATTTCGATAAGTTGCAGTCCAAGACTTCTTAATTTCAAGTAAACTCTGCGTGCGATATTTCGCATAGAGACCACTAATTAACTGAACATTGTCTCTTAATCTTCTAAGATTGTCATTAAACCAGTTGAATCTATATCTACCCGAATATTTGTTTCGTTTGTCTCGTACAAGCGGAAAGCAAGTCAAATAACATTCATGAAAAAACTTAACGAAATCAGAAAAACATTGGTTACAATCACCTGTATCACTAATAATGTCTTTCCAATCACAATTGTAAAGTTTATCGAACAACATGTACATACCAACTTGGGTGATTGGTCGATGCAGTTTAGTTGCGTAATAGTTCCTAAGATCTTTTTCAAAATGATTCAGTACAAGCAGCTGCCCTAGATGGTCAGCAAGGCCGGTGTTTATTGTAGTACTACTGAAATCAAAAACACTAAAATTTGAAAAAATATTGTCTATGCAATTTACTCCGCGAGTAGCCGAGAAGATTGTTCGTATAAAACCATTACTTTCTAATAAATCACCGATAATGGTTGCTCTCTTATCGACAGAAAAGTGCACATTAAAGTCACCCGCTAAAACAACATTAAAATTAACAATCTTTTCGAGTACTAACTCTAAAATGTCATAAAATTTCTTAAAATCCCCATTGGGCGATCTATATACACATATAACTACAGTATTAGAATTAACTTGCACACAACAAATTTCCGCATGCGTTTCTTCAGAGAGGTCATTAATGAATTTAAGTGGTTTCACACACGCACTTTCCTTTGTAAAAATTAACACTCCACCATGTTTACGCGAAGGTCTACAGTAGAAAGATCCTACTGACCATTGACCAAATTTAAGAGCGGTAATTTGGTCAGTATCAGTAATCCAATGTTCACTTACACATATACAATCCAATTCCTTGTCGGCAACAAATGCTTCCAATTGGTTCAATTTGTTAATAATTGACTGAATATTTATATGAAATATGGATAATTTTTTATGAGATAAAGATGGTGAGGTCAGGTGTTCATTGTTGTTTGGGATCTCCGGAAGAAAAAACGATTTACTCGTGTACCCTGCGGCCAAACTCCTGGGTCCATGATCTTCTCTAAATCCGACAATTGTACGGTCACTTTGAAGGACGAGTAGTCTTTGGCATATTTTGACTGCAGTTTTTCGCAACACACGTCGGGAAACGTTGGCTGAAGATAACGTTGCAGCATGTCAACAGTCGTTCCTGGATCAAGCTTATACACATGAAGATACGCACGAGGAACTATTGCCTTGATTGTACAGTAGCTGGGATCAACATTGTTGCTGCCAATAATAGCAGCCCGTTTAGATTTTTTGTGCGTAACAGTTTTCCATTCCTTTTGAGTGGTATTGGTAGGTGCCTCATGCAGAACTTTAGCATACGATGCAGGTTCAGCGAGAACTTTTACATCGCACTTAGAAGAGACTGGAGGGTCTCCATTAAGCGCAGAAGTAGATCCTTTGTCAGCTAATTTAGTAGTTGATGCATGGTTATTAGCAGATGCTTTTGGCTTAGGTTTCGCTACCTCCGAACGGGAGGAATTCTTATCATTGACGGATCCATTAGAGGTTTGAAGCTTATTTAGAAGTATAACTTGACTTTGGAGTGCATTAATTGCTATTGTTTGGTTACTTATTACTTTATCCTTTTCCGTAATTAATTCCTTTAGAAATTTAATTTCAATTTCGTTTTATTCAGTTTTCTTTGTATAACACCATCCCATAGTCCGTGTGCGCGAATTTCGAAACACGCTGTATATGTAAAACCTGTTTACATGTAGTGTAGGTAAGTTTTAATCTCGGTTTTAATTTAAGTGTTTTATATTTTGTCTTTGGAGATGTTAATGATAAAAAAGTTTTTCTTTTGTAGTTAGGTAAACAGTAAGTGATTTAATAAATGTGTATTTAAAAAAAAAAGTGATTTGTTTTAATTGACATCACCAAAACGCGTGGACGATGCAGACAGAGCGGAAAATTTATTGTTCCAACCAGGATTCATAGTTAATCCAACTAATCATTTGAGACAATTTATGAGTTTCCAGCATAAATGGTATGCTACTACAACAAAGATAAAAAAGGACAAATTAGGAGGTCCAGCAAATACTCGTTAGTTTATATAACAATACCGCTATGCTGCTGCGACTAAGCATTACTTGTTACAGGGACAAATTTTTTTGCAAGCTTATTTAGTTCCTCAAACAAAAATGGTATGCTTTCTTAACTAACTTGTATAATTTGTCACAAGTAATTGTTTTAGCTACTGGAACAAATTTACTTCCAACAAGTTATGTTGATTTCCTACAGCAAATAATTTTGTTGAGGCTATAGCTACTAAAAAAATTAGTTGGAGTAACTAATTGTTAGTTGCGACAACATTTCTTTTTTTTCAGTGTATTTATTTAGACGACTATTTTATGCGATGCGATAGGATGCAGTGTTGTCAGACAGCACCTTGTGTGAAAACATTTGCCGAAAACTTCCCACCTTTATACCTGAACATACACGTTTAGATTTCCAAAGTATCATTTATATGGGAACGATACACAATTATACTACTACAACGTTAGTATTTAATATACATTTTATTTAACTGGATAACAATTTATTAATTATATAATAAAGTATAATATATTAATTTCAATTCTGTGTTGACAAAAAACTGCCCGTCTGAATGTGCTCGAAATAAAAACATTACTACTTCATTGGACAGCACTGGGCTCCATCTTTGCCGTCGGCGGTCTTACATTGCTCACTAGAAGGAAATAAGACTTATTAAAACTGCATTTATGCCGAAAATGTAAATGATATTGTACATAATACGGTTTATAAATGTATCACAATAAGGCCGGATTAATTTTATAAGACATATTATCTAATAATAAAAAATAGTACTTACGTTGGTTGATATCCTAAAGGACATGGTGGCTTTTCAAAGCACTTACAATCAGCGCAGTACGCTACTTGGAAAGTTACCAATGCTACCAATGCTACCACAAGAATCAAACCCACGAATTTCATTTTTAAGCTGTAGTATTGCGAATGCTTTACTTAGTAACTAGTTGGATGCCAACCCTTTTATACCAATGCTCAGTCTTTCCCCCTCCGGTAATTTTACTCTGCCAAACAAATTCTGTGGATACCAATGTTGATAAAATCATTGTCAGGTAAATTTATCGAGAGATAACACTGTACAGACCGACTGTAATCTAGAGTATCTTGTGATTGAACACTAAAAAATAACCTCAAGTAGTGAGATTATTTCGAAAATATAAATTTATCATCAACTGATGCGCAAAAACACTCGGTAATAAATTATAATTATCTAAGTATCTGAAAAACAAAACATTAATTGATTTGGCTGTTATTGCGACGAATTTATCAGAAAGTTCAGTTCAGAAATTTATTAAAAATTGTGTATTAAATTTATTTTGAGTGCTGCTTGTCAAAATATCTATTAGCTGTTTTCTTCCAGTAGCATGCCTCCAGGCTTCCCGTGAAAAGGAGTTGAATTTCAGTAGGATAAATTGATATCTCGTGCAGAAAATGATCGCTGGAAAGACATACTCAAATTTCAACTAAATATCACAACATTGTAACGTTGTGATTCTCCCCTAGAAGAAAATATTACATCAAATATAGGAACATATCAGCAACTTAGTTTACTCTATAACTGCACTCAAATCCAAATGCAATGAAGGTCCTTCCCTGGATATGAAGATTTAGAGTGGCCTTTTAGGTTGAAATTCAATTACAATTAAATAGACTATGACTGTGTTTTTCAGCGGAAGTTGTCGTCACCACCTACCGCCTTTTTGGCAGATATGACCATTCGTTGGGCTATTTTACCCTTGAAATGTATACATCACGAACCCATACCTCCAGGCCTGTGTCGCAACGTACATAACAATTTTGAACTTTTTGGGGATAATAAGAGCGTACAAATCCATTTTGATGATTTAATAATTGCTGGCGAAACAGAGTTAGGACAGAAGCACTAATTTCAGAAACAACCCAAGTCACAAATGATCAGTTTAAAGATAATCAAGAAAAACTAATTAACCTCCCAAAAATATATTTAGGAGCATTCTTCAATTTACCACGACAGCAGTGGCATAACAGCCAGCAGAATATGACGAAACACGTGATTATATGTCAAAGCAAAAAAGGCCAGGAAGACTAAAGTCATATGGTCTGAAGAGTCTGAATTTAAATCAAATAATGTTATGACATTTTTAAAAATTTTATTGCGAAAACCTGAAGTACAACAAACTTTTTGAAATGAAAAAAATCAAAATTACAACTCTTCTCCATTGCCTGTAGGCCAAAATCTCTTTCCAGAAATGTTGTGCCTCTTAATTTTGGTCTACAAACTTATGAGTTTCTTAAATATGCTCCATTTTTTTAGCCGAAATTGGCACTTTTCCGTTGGGGATTGCGAGATCTACCGGAAAATCAGTAGACTTCACTCCTGGGAGTAACAGAGAAAAAGTATGATTGACGATTCCACCAATATAGTCTTTGGCCCGAACAACGCCTTTGCCATGATCCGCACTGAATAGGAAGTAGTGAAATTTGGAGATGTTGAAGCGTTCTTTTGCACTCCTAGGCACTAATCTGGCCGAGGATTCAACGGAAATTGCATCCTTCTTAGAGTATTTTCCCCACCAATTTTGGAAGTCTCTGATATGGGTGAACTGTGAATTTATTGGGTTTGACGGAAGACGTGACTATCATCTCAACATATTCCATTAGAGTATACACTCGGCCCGTTTAAGTCAGCTTACGCTTTATCATACCAAAATCCCTGTCGGAGGGCAAAAATGAATGTCCACGAATAGGAAAAAACACTTCAATTCTCTGAAACCGGCCTTAGTCCAGTCAAATTAGCGCAATTTTGGACAAATAAAAACATTAATCGGTAAAGATCTGAATTTTGGTATACACATTTATTGGGACTTTGTATTGAACATACTAAAAGTCCCTGTCAAAATCTGTTGCGCTCGAGACGCCATCTTGGAAAAACGGTACACTTTTCCAGTTTTTTGCCCATGTCTCGGCAACTATTACTGATACGAAGAAATAGTTTACATGAAAAATATAGTTTACTAAATTCCCTATAAAAAAGAGTATTTACATTTTTTTGTATCTCCAATACTTTAGCTGTAATCTCACGTTGAATGCGTCAGAACGCGTTTAGGCCCCGTATCGTAGTTATAGGAAGGAGGCCGTCTTTTTTATGACTACACCGAAAGCTGTAAAAGCACCAAAAAATGAACAGAATCGTCTTGCGATAAAGCATTCTAGCAATGACATAATGTTTCATGATACGTACGACATCATGTTTTTTTCAAAAAGGTAAGCGAAAATGATTAAAATTGTTGGGGCCACGAAGATGGTGCCTCGAGCGCAACAGATTTTGACGGGGACTTTTAGTATGTCCAATGGGGAACACTAATGAACATGTGTACCAAAATTCAGATCTTTACCGATTAATGTTTTTATTTTTTCTTATTTGACTGGACTACCTGAGTTGACAAGGGCTGAGCAAAAACGAAAAACAGCGTGATTTTTATTTTGCCCAGAACAGTAATAATAATAATAATAATAATAATAGTTTATTGCCATGAATAAATTCCTTTACATTGGCATTGTCATGAATGTAGAATAATATAGAAAAAAAGACAAACTAAAAACATAAAGAGGACAAACGTTATACATTGAGGAAAATAAGATGTTAGTGTGTCCGGTTTAATTCGCATCAAGCTCGCCCACGGAGTAGTAATTTTTTTCAAGTAGATATAATTTTAAGTTTTTTTTGAACAATTGAATATTCCTTGATTGTTTTATTGCCTTTGGTATAGCATTAAATACTTTGATGCAATTATAGTAATAACCTCTCTCATAACGCGTTGTTCGGTGAGTGGGTATGCTCAAATTGTCACCATTCCTTGTACTCATTGCGCTGTAAATATGGCTATTTTTATTGAAATCATTTATGTTTCGCCACGTATGTACCGAGGCGCAGTATATAAAAAGACTGGGTAGAGTTAAAATTTTCAATTGTTGAAATGAAGTTCGGCAAGAAGCTGCACTTGGAAGACCAACCATAGCCCTAATAATGCGTTTTTGTGCTATAAATACTCGACGTGTATCAGACGCATTGAACCAAAGTAGTATGCTGTAGGCTAGTACACCATGTACAGCTGCGAAGTAATACGCTCGAATTGAGTTAAGGCTTAGGCGCTCTTTGAGATATCTGATAGCATAGCATGCACTATTCAGTCTGCCCACAACATAGTCAACCTGCTTGCACCACTTCAAGTTTTGGTCAATATGCACCCCTAAGAATTTAGTCACTTCAGTTTGTTGAATGGACTTGCCAGACATTTTTACAAGTAAGGATTGGTCATTAAAGTATGTGAAAGCTACAAGAGCAGTTTTTTGTGTGTTAAGGATTAAATTGTTATTATTACACCATTCTACCATGTTTTTTGATATTAATGTTAGACTGTCGGACAATTCCTGAGCAGTTTCACTGGCAAACAAACATGACGTGTCATCGGCATACTGAATAAGTGTTGAAACTTGTAGTGATGGTTTTAGATCATTGACGAAGAGTAAAAAGAGCAATGGGCCAAGAATGGACCCTTGTGGCACCCCTTTGTTCAAACTAGTTGTCTCTGACAGTGTTCCAGAACCATTGCTGTTTTCAATATAGACCTGCTGAGATCTACTACTCAAGTACGACTTCATCAACTTCAAAGCAGTACCTCGAACTCCCTAGCTCTCTAATTTACTAATTAAGATCCGATGATCAATAATGTCAAATGCTTTGGATAAGTCGAAGTAAATCCCCGCCACCAGTTTTCGTCTATCAAGTTGATTCAATATGAATTTCAATGAAAAGCATATTGCATCATTAGTAGACTTATTAGGCAAGAAACCATACTGACTGACCGAAATCAATTTGTATTTTTGAAGGTATGAAAGTAACCTGTTAAAAATTACTCTTTCATAAATTTTTGAGAAAACTGGCAACAGGGATATAGGTCGATAGTTTTCTATTATATCTTTGTTGCCTTTTTTGTGAATCGGTATAACTTTAGTTCTTTTAAGTTGATAAGGAAATGTTCCTGTTTGAAGACATTCATTTATTATGTGAGCCAAGGGAATCGCAATATTTGTAGCGACATTTTTTAACACTATTGAAGGAATTCCATCCAGGCCTATGGAGTATTTGGAAGGTACGTTTTTTACTATTGTTAGAATTTCCATGGGATCCGTAGGAAACAGGTAGCAATTTTTATAAACGTTACTTATTGATAGATTTGTTTTGGTTGATTTATACGCAGTATTTAGATTACTTGTATCGAAATACTTATTAAACATTTCTGCAATATAATGGGGATCTGACACCTTTTGATTCTCATGAATTAGTACAGGGCATTTGGTATTTTTTTCAACTCTAAGAGCTTGGTTAACCTGCTTCCAAATCGATTTGGGTTTATTGCTCGAGTTTAGTATAGCATCCTCGCTTAAAGAAATGCTGTAGTTCTTTAGATAAGCTTTATATTTCTTCTTTTCTAATTTATAGGATTCCTTCAAACGAGGATCTTTGATTTTTTTGTAAAGCAAATTTAGATATATCAGTTGTTGAGCCCAATTCTTTATGTATGCTGTGTTAAATTTCTGTTTATTTTTGAAAGGCTTAACCCGCATCAAAGTAATAGTAGAATGTTTCAAAAAACATGTCGTACTTTTCATCCGAGCCCATTGCATCGTACACCTCTTGCAAGACTTCATTACACAAACAGTTTTTAAAATTTGTGAAATTGTTTTCATTATAAGTTCTTTTGTATTTGAAACAGTTTTGAACTTTACCTCCGTCTTTCTTTTCTACGTGCTCGTTACCTACTGATAAAAGTTGTGCGTAGTGATCCGATATATGAGATTTGATAACTACGCATGTAGTTCTATCAACGCTCATATTCGAAAAAATGTTATCGATTCTAGTTGCGGAATAGGTGGCCACTCGAGTCATGCCCTCTACCTGCGGAGATAGGTTG